CTTTGTATGCAAATGTGCCACAAGGGGGTGCTGTGGATTAGTGTCCCGTCATCTGCCACTTTTCTGTTGTCATTTCGCAGCAGATTGAGAAATGTTGATTTGGTTTCAGAGTACATTGCTCTTTAATCACCACCAGAAGTATCTGTTTGTCTCGGTTCAGTTCTCTCAGTCTTAATCGTCAACAGTTGGAGGTACTTCATTCTTAAGATTTACTGAATGCTGTCAAAGCACGATGCAATTACCCTGCTAGATCAAATCATGTCCACACATTTAAAACCCATCTGGGCCACATCTGGTCATTTTGATCACCCACATCATTCAGGTATATACCCCAGTTCTGCCCTCACAGCTCTGTGGTGCCTTGTTAATCTCATCAAAGATGCTAAACCATGGAGATGAAAGAGATGAGAAGCATTTGCCCACAGTGTTATAATCATGTTCAGGTGATGTTACTCTCAACTGTTAATAATATAAGGAATGAGCCCTTCATCCACTCCACACCTTAAGAGCAACAGGACAATTAGCTGGATTTCAAAATATTCATTACCAAGATTACAATGTGCAGCCTTGTACATACTGAAGCTTTAAGACCTCGTGTTTCCAAAAATGTCATTTTGTATATTGGTTTATTTCTAAATCGCTGTCCCTCTTTGAACGGTTTTCCTCAGGTGCTATCCTAGGGTTCATGCTAGGTGTCTTCCAAATCCCGCTGAACGAGTGTGACGACATTTACCGGAAGTTGGGCTCAGATGTTTTTAAGCAGAACGTCATTGTCGGCACAGTGAAGATGGGCTGGAGCCACGCATTCTATGATAGTGAAGCCTGGGAGAACATCCTCAAGTCAGTTCCACTGTTGTTGTGAATGACAGCCTAAGGGGTTTATGTCTTTCTTACAATGTCAATATAGTAATGTTGTAAAGCTTTAAACCCATGATGCCTGTTTTCCAAAACATACAGTTATATAAAACTGCATAGTAGAAGTAGATAGACCTCACATGTCCTCTTTGTTTTAAAATGATTAATCTGCAAATCTGTGCTGCATGTATTTGTCAGTTATCTGTCATAGACAAGCATGAAATCAGATTATTGATATTCACTCTGATAGATGAAAAGAGAAAATTTAAACTTTCACGTGTGAAAAGTTCATTATTATAAAATATGAAAATCATTGTAGATAAGAGGCCGGTTGGAAAATTTGGATGAGTGTATTAAAATTTTGTAACCATCACTGTATGTTTAAATATGGTCAGTAGTCTTATAAAGGTCAGTAATTCTGGTAAATGGTCTAAAAGCAGAGTGGTTCGTTAAACTAATGCTGATCATAAAATGATTTCAGTTCCATTAACTCATATGCACAACTTTTGCAGAAAGGTTTCTGTAACAAGTAATCGCACTAGCCAAAATTCATAAAGCCAGAAAAAAAATCATCATCCTCTCTTCTCTTCCACAGAGAGAGAATGGGTTCTCACCTCTTGGTGGAGACTTCAAGAAACGCTGAATGCCCCAAGGTGAGCTTTGTAAGATGACCTGACTCTTTCTTCCCGCTGTTCTGGTGCTAACCTGTGAGCCTTCGCCTCATCTTGTTTACGACATAGAAAGCTCCTTTCTTGATCTCAGTTTTGTATTTTTGCTGGAAAATACACTTAAAAACTATATAAGGCAGCTGAAGAAGAGTCTGAGGTTTCATTTCTTAGCAGACTCCCCTGAGATTAAATTGATCCGTCAGCGTGTCGGTGTAGAAATTGTTCCTGCATTTTACATCTGTTGGGATTACTTTATTGTATTTTAATTTTAATTTTAATTAATCTACTTTCTATCTTATTTTAGTTTACTACTTGTACTCTGATGCATTGTGTGTTACTGTTTCCTTGTTGTACTGTATGCCTGTGAAGCACTTTAATTGTGCTATATAAAAACAATGACATGTAAAATTTCGCCTCAACCGCATTATACTGTATGTCATTTTCGTTACCTGCAGGTGGCAGCAGTTAGCACCATTGTGAACCGGGGCACGCCACTGAAAGCTTATGTGTTCAGAAACTACAACCTGCTACCTGGGGTGCGATCACATTACCTTGGCGGCTGCCAGCACCAACTCTGGCAGGCGATCCGAGCCACGTCAGCAGCTCCTGGGTATTTTCAAGAGTTCGCCTTGGGCAATGATCTCCACCAGGTCAGTGCCATTCTCCACAATAACAGATTTCAGCTGGAGCCAGTGCCCCCTTGGCCCCAACCATTTCATCTGATCTGAATTAAATCTGGAATATTGCCTGTCAGTATTTCTTACAGAAAAGGTAAAATCATGTCAGTTGATACTCAACAGAAAGATGATACTCCATACCATGATACAGAAAAGGATGTGATGTCACACAGAATCACGATGTGAATTGTTTTACCTTGTCATGATCAATATTACCAAGAAATAGTCATGATCCTTAACTATGTGTGTTTATATAGTCACTAGTCATCAATGGAGACCCTCAAACCAGAGGTGAGGTCACTTTTTGATCTGGAACTCTGGAACCATATCACCTATCATCAAACATTCTGGACCTGGGGTCCTCAGCTCAACATCCAACTAACATAGTTTGGTCAGTTTTAGAAAATGTATTATCAGTTCTGATAAAAACACAGATTTTCTCCTGCAATGCTGTGCGAGTCCTTAGCCAATGAATGTTTAATTCAGTTACAGTGTAATGTAACTGTTAAGGCTTATTTTTTCCTTACTTATTCTCGTTTTCACACCCTCCCTCATATTCACATAGTTCTGCAGTTCTCTTCCTGAGAAATACTGGGCTTATTGTTGGTCTGCCTAATTTACATGTTGTTCAGTCTGTTGATGGTGGAGTTTGACGGATTTTGAGAAGCCTAGTGAGAAAAATCCTTGGCACAGCGAGCAGGAGGGAGGATCTCAGTTTCCGTCTGTCAGTGTTTTTTTCCAGTCAATTACATTTTGACAGGAAAGTGAGGGGCAGAGACACAGTGAGACACACTCAGATCTAGCTCCACTAAACAGGTATACATTAGCCATCAGTAACATAACAAACTGCTGGTCCACTCTACCATTTTACTGATCAATACGTATGGCTATTTACCTTTCAAGCAAGGGCTTAGCAGAGTGCAAGAGAAGTAGTACGACACCACATCAGAGCAATAGCTGCATATTAGAAAACAAGCAGCTGGGTGGTATTTACTTCTAAACAGTTCTTTGAAAAGAGGTTAAAAGCACAAAGAATAACATCATGTAGATGCGTGCACAAGTCATAATAGATGATGGGTCACACATACAGGAATGAATCAGTGGCAAACATTAGCCTCCTCTTCCTCTTCTGTGTGAGTGAGGACAAGAAGCAGAAAAAACATTTGCCTCTTGTGGCCTGGTACATTGCAGCACAGCTTTGCATCCCTTAGATGTCTTCTGGAACATTCAGGTGAGGGGTGCTGCCTGGGTAGAGCATGCAGGAGGCAGGACATGATCTAAATTCTGCAGTGGAAAGGACTATTTTTGTTTGCAGCACATTAAAATTGGCCAAATGCTCTCAAATTTTGTTTTTACAAGTTCATATCTTTGTCAACGTCTTCTACGTGTATGACTCCTCTTTTTCATCCGGTGATATTTGCATTCTTCCAGTTTCACGTCTGTCAAGTGTTAGAAACGTCACAACTTACTCACTCTGAGTTTTCAGGAAATGTTCCTCCTGTGTTCTCTCTGAATTATCTGGACATTTTATTTGGTGCTTGGCTGAAAAATATCTGGAAAATGTCCTCGAACATTTGCATTCAAATGTCAAGAAAATGACTTCAGTGCTTGTCTGAAAGCAGCTCATGTTCCTCTCCTGTTTAAGTATTCTGCTAGTGTAGCTTGTGTTTGACCTGTTGCTTCCAGATCTCAATATCACCCTGAATTTGACATTCAGAACTTAGATTTGGCGCGCAGGCACAAACACAGCGCAGATCTTGTGTGAATGAGCATGTGTTTGCTTCAAAGTCAATATCCCATGTAGACGAGCTCCCAAGCTCTTAATTGGAAGCTGTGTCGGTTGTGTTGGTGAATGGGGAAGTGCAGGAGCAGAGAATGAAAGAGACTGGTTGATGAAAAAACCCACCTGTGGTGGGAGATTCCCCCGCCTGCCATCTTGCAGGTCTCGCTCTGCTCTGAGATGCATTAATTATCCCAAATGCAGCACTTCCCTCATCTCACACACGTGTTTGACTGCTGCATCTGTGTTAGAAGGAAAAGACAGACAATCTAATTATGAGCTGCTTTTCCAACCGCTGTTAGTCAGCCGCCAGCAGGAAGCCTCATACTGCGAGAAGATGAGACGCCATCAATAGTTTAATATATTTAACACACTCGACGTGAAGTCAGTCAATGGTGTTTTATTTAAATTTATTTGAAAAGAAACTTTCACATGGAAAACAGAATGAAAATAGAAAAAACATCAGTAAGCCCTGAAGGTTGTATTTTAGCCGTGACTCGTGTTTTTCCTTGTGTGAATTTGAGCTTCAGCTCCTTTTTTACCACTGTCTACTCTGTTATTTTTGGGACAGTTTTTACCTGTGTTCACTTTGCCTGAATATAGTCTGCTTTCAATTGTTTTGTTCTGCTTCTACAAATGATATAGCCTTCTAAAAATCAGAAACACAGATAATAGAGTATAAACATGTTCAAATAAAAGTTCAGTTAGCTTTTTTCCTATTCTTGCATGGATTTAGGATAGAATAAGATCCACATAAAGTTGGGGTGGGGGGCAATGTATGTGTTCTAGAGACAACATTTCATCAACTGCAATTTCTCAAACTCCTACTTCTTGAATTCATGATTTAAGATCTTCAGATTAAAAAAACCTTTCACAACCACATCAAAGACACAGAAACTCATAAATGTAAAATGCAATGCAGGAATTGACAAAAACTGTTTCATTTAATTAAATCAAACAGAAGTGTCTGTGATTTCAGTTTTTGCAACCAGTTTGTGAGAAATTAGATTTTTGTGAGTGATAAAGCACTTATTTGCAAATACCAATTAAAATCAGGATGAATGTCATTTTTGATGAGTTTTTAAACTTACTTAAATTTGACCCAACAGTGTAAAATCGAAGAACCCAATTAAATTACAATGAACTCTTTAATAAACCACTTCATGCAGCAATTGAACCACTTTCTCTCCGTGTGAGCTTCTGGCCAGATGCAGAGTGCCACCCAGCCTGATGACTCAATCTACTGGCTATTTGAAACCGGTCGTGAGCATAGCATGCTGTCTGTGTGATGTCAGGATTCCCTGAAGAGAGAGTCATCTCACTCTTTTGCACAAACGCCCACAGAGTTTTCCACTTAATTTAAGCTCCAAACAATCACTCTTTTGTGCTGGGAGCGCAGGAGAATCGCCGTGCCATGTGCTGAGAGAATGCTTGAGTTCTCAAGCAGCGTTTCAAGAAAGTTCTGATTGTTCGTCGATGTGTTCTGTGATTCCGCTGGAACAGAAATCTGTCTGACGGTGAACCAGAACTTTAGATTCACGCTGGGTACACTGGGGAAATTGTAACTCGGAGCAAGACCATTTGAAGCAGAGCAGCCAGGGTTTTATCAAAGCCTCGCACTTGCAACTGCAGCCATGGAGGGGATGCCTAAGCAAGGGAGGGAACAAGAGAGAAAGAGTGAAAACATAGAGATGAAGGGAGGGAGGAGGCGCATGTTCCACATTAAGGCTTTCTCAGTTATCTCTCCTCTAACGAACACAGACGTAGAGGACTTGAGGCGTTTTTACAATGGATGTCGGGGCATGCGTGGAATAGTGAGGGGGGCCCGATAATTTTTTTTTCAGCCTGGTTGCTATGGCATCTCCTGAGGCAGTGGGGAGGAATGAGCGCATGCTTCGTGCCCACTTCTGCCAACATTTGATGGGAGGCGTCGGATCAGTGGGCAATCACCCTCAGCACAACTTTTGAGAGCCACAACACAGCTTCACACTCAGCAGAAACCCTTGACACAGACAGAAATGGAGTAGGTGACAAACATCAGTCCCAAATTAATTTTATCACTAATGAATGAGAGAGGCAATGAGTCATTAATAAGTCTAGAGGTTAATGTGACAGAAAGGGCTCCAAAATATTTTGATTGTGTGTGAGAATAGAAGTAAAGGTGTCACACTAAATTAAATACCATTTCAAAAGAGCAGTTTAAGAAATCAGAACCTTTTGGGTCCCTTTCTTTCTCTCACTCATTGTAAAGGTCACTTCAGGTGAAGTTATTGGTCATATATTACACAGGTGATGGATTCAGAGAAGTGACAGAGAAGATAAAGCTGAGCTTTTAGCCACAGCCTCATTCCTGCTCTCTCTCCTCCTGAGTTAAGCCCTGAGAGCTCGGCCCTGGAGGCTGTTGGAGGACGGAGCTCAAACTTGTGAGCCCTGCTGCAGACAGACTCGGGCTCTTTGTCCCCTGAGTATAAAGTCATACACATGGATTCTGTCACTGTCACATGAACTCAGTTTCCTCAACAGAGTACTCTTTTTGTTCTTTTGCTCAGAAATGTTTTCTTAGATACACTAACAGTTGCTTGGGGATTCGATCAGTCCAGTGATTATTTTGACTGGCTGCTGTAAGAAAGCTTCCCTGAATCTTCCTGTCCTGCTCACAGTGCACCACACCTCACAGACCTCTCACTCAGTGGCAGATCGAGGATTTTTCTAAATCAGGGGCCATAAAGGGGCCAGCAAGAATTTACTCATAACAATTTTAGTAATAATAATAATAACTGTATTTTTATAGCACTTATCTAAACAAAGTTACTAAGTGCTTCACAAGAAAAAAACATCCGTCCAGAATTCCTTGTTCGGTTAAATATACATTTTAGTCATTTTACATTGACTGTTAGCTCTAAAGCTTTAAGCAAAGCCACACATCGTTGAATATATTTTGAAAACTGTTAATGTAAAAGTTAATTATGTCCTTCTAAAAAGCTTAAATTCTGAACACATTAATGTATTTGGTAGTATTGATAAAAAGTGACTAGTCTATAAAAATAAAAAAAGATTAAGGACAACACAGGGTCACTTCAGGGGCCAGTCAGCTGGGGCCAGTAGCCCCCTGGCCCTGTCCCAGGATCTGCCCCTGCTGTCACTGCTGTGGCTCCAGATGAGGTTTCTTGTATTAAATCTCTTCTTTAAACCT